TTTAATTGTAGCAGGTTCAATGGGTCAATTCGACTCACTTAAACTTAAACCGTTTGACTCACAAGTTAACATTACTACATTTTAATTCTTTAACAACATTTTCTTTCTTATATTTGTTAAAATGTCACTATATATTGAATAAATAGGTTATTTTGTAACATTTTTTTTGAAAAATGTCCTTATAGATAGAGTAACATTTTTATTTTAATATTATTTTTTTCAATTATTTTCAAAATCAAAGTCCCATATCGAGTAAAAAAAATGTTATATAGGTTATTTTGCAATATATATTTTTTTAAAATGTTATTATAGATAAGTAACATTTTTTTGTCTCAACATTATTTTTTCTAATTACTTCTAAAATCAAAGTTTCACATTGAGTAAAAAAAAATATTTTTCTCTTATCTAATTTTTACCCATAATTAAAGTCTCACATCGAGTAAATGAATGATTCATAAAGAATATATATATATAATCATATAGTTATACTTAAGATAAATGAATTTTGATATTTGATATATAATAAGCGGTGACTCATTAAGAATCTCTTCAACCTTCTCTTAAAGTTAAAGAACTCCTAAGAGTTTAGGAGGCATAAAAATATAATAATTGATAGTAATATCTAAATTAAATCTAATTATCTTTTTATAAAGTTAAGAAAAACTTAGCAACATCATTAAAATGTTATAAAAATACCACTTTGATAACATTTGAAAAATGTTGTCTAATTGTGTAAAAATGTTATTAAAAGTTAGTAGCAACATGAACTATATATAACATTTGATAATATGTTACAAAAGCAAATTAGCAACATTTATACATAATTAGGTAACATTTTTCAAATTTTGTTAAAATCTCTTTGTGATGTAGTGTAAGTGAACTTAGTTGAAATTTAGTCGAAATTGACAAACTTGTTTTTTCCTTAACTCAGCCCAACTCGAACACATGGTAAGTTGGGTTAACCTACTATGTTGGAGCTGACTTTGACACTTTTACACAATATTTGTCTCTAAAAACTACTTTTATCTACAATTATATTTTCATAAATTTTAGAAAGTGTAGATATAAACTATAATGACAAACAATATATATTGTTGAATTCCAATCAAAATTAACTATAAAATTATGTGTGAGTATATGTCAAATAAATTTATACTTACATATATTATATCTATAATGACACTTTTTGCACGTCACTACATATAACATTTATTGTAATATTTGTATTGCTTTCATTTACATTTTGTTCTTTTTTCAAATGTATTGTTTGGAGAATATTTCAATTTTTTAAAATTTCAAATACTTAAGTTAGACAATTAAGACAATTTAATTTTCACCCCGTGTGCTAAATTCATTTATTTTAGATATATATATTTAAATGTTTGAAATGTTAATATTAAATTTTATTAAAAATAGCATGAACCAATTTTTAAATATTTAATAATTTAAAAATAATTTTAATAATAGATAATATTTAATTATAATTTAAGTTATTTACTAATAAAAAATATAAATTTTAATAATTTTTATGTCAATATTATAGAGAGAGGAAAAATAGAAATAAAAGTGAGATAAGAGAAAGAAGGGAGAAAGAAGAGAGAAAAAAATAGAGTGAACAGAAAGAGAAAATAAAGAGAAGAAAAAAAGAAAAGTGAAGTAGAAAAAACTATACAAAATTTCAAAAATTTGAATAAGATTATTAGATGCAATGTTTTAAAATTCACACGAGTGATTGATCTAGTAGAGGTAGTGGATCAACAAGTCATTGATTAACCTAGTGAGTTATTAATTAAATCTCACAAATTGATATAAATAAAATATATTTTTATATGTATATTTTTATACTTGTCAGATATATTTACAAAAAAATTGATATGAAATATATAGTGATTTGTTAAGCCTCGTAATATTGCTTGGTTCATTGTTCAGCTTTTATCAAGTCTATTTTATTATATTTTGCAATCACTTGCCTCCATTAATGTAGCACTTATTTAAACTAAAAAATTTATTTATATTATTTAAAAGTTACCACAAGATTTTTTTTTAATGATAAGATGAATTTAATATCTTTTAAAATTCTAATCGATCCACCTCTAGGTAAATATGTTAACATTAAAGAGGAGAGATTTTTTTTAAAAAAACTATTACTTTTTCTTTTTGGATGAATTTTATATCTATTCATTACAAAATTATTAATGGATGAATTTAATATTTTTTAATTAATAGTATACTTTTTTAGAAACTAAATAAGTTTTCGTTTGATTCTTGCCTTGTGTTAACAAAATATCCTTACTTTTGTTTGGCTTCTAATAGATACAAGAATATAATAACTAGCATAATACTTTAAAAGGAAATCCACCGACAAAATCCATGCAGGAGTGCAAAAAAAATACTTTAAAAGAAAATCTACCGACAAAATCCATGCAGGAGTGCAAAAAAAAAATTAGGCCGTGGTAAACTATAAGTTGAGGATAAAATTGATACATATATATATATA